ACCACAAGAATCTTGTGCGGTTGCTAGGATTCTGCAATGAGGGACAACATCGGCTTTTGGTGTATGAATACATGAGCAATGGATCTTTAGCATCTTATCTTTTAAGGAATCCAAGGCCTAGCTGGTACAGAAGAACTGAAATTGCTTTTGGAACTGCAAGAGGGCTTGCTTATTTGCATGAAGAGTGCAGCAACCTGATCATACATTGTGACATCAAGCCTCAAAATATCCTACTGGATGATTCCTTGACAGCAAGAATTTCGGACTTTGGATTAGCAAAACTTTTGGATAAAGATCAGACACGAACTCTTACAGAAGTTAGGGGAACAAGAGGATATGTTGCACCTGAATGGTTGATTGGAAAGAAGCCTATAACGGTCAAGGTTGACGTCTACAGCTTTGGAATTCTGCTGCTAGAGCTCATTTGTTGTAGGAGGAAAGTTGAGCAAGATTTAGAGGATGAAAAACAAAAGGTATTAGCTGATTGGGCATATTATTGCTATGAAGAAGGGAAACTGCATCTTCTAGTTCAGGAGGATGAAGGGGCAATGGAGGATATTAATAGGGTAGAGAAGTTTGTAATGATTGCCATCTAGTGCATTCAAGATGACCCATTGCTGAGACCCACCATGAAGAGAGTCTCACAGATGCTAGAAGGAACCGTTGAAGTTCCTTATCCTCCAGTCAATCTCTATTCATCAGCTTAATTTAAACTTACCAAAGCCCCATGATCAGTTGATAAAGGAGTGTGGTCAATATAGTTGGTTCTTTGGATTCATGGGGTGATCTCTGTTGATCTTGTGAGGCTTTCTTCTAGATATTCCTAGTTACATGTTAGGTGAATAAATGTGTTAGGGCTGTGTTTCACCTAAATTGTTGAACTCGTGTATGTTTATGTTTGACTGCATTATTCAATAAAGATTCCACCACTCACCACAACCAATTTAGAAAAATTGAGATGAGTAATGCTCCTATTAGACACCTGCAGAATTCTTGATATATAGATATAGTTTTTAATAAGGTTTTGCAGAGATAATATACCTTGGGGTTGAAGTTAATTTTGAGCTCGACTCTTCAGTTTCGCTTCTTTAACGTCTAGTTCACAAAATCAAGAAAAACCACAGAAACATATTGCAATTTCAATCACATACAAAACCACAATTTGAAAA